CCAGTCAGTGTGGCCAGGGCTGGTCAGCGTGGCCAGAGGACAACAGCAGGACAAGAGAGGACAAGACAAGACCCGGCCACAGAGCCCGGCCACAGAGTTCAGGGGCGCGGCCAGTCAGTGTGGCCAGCTCTTCTTTTCCAAGATAGAACCCCAACAGTAAACTGCTTGGGGAAAAGCAGTTGGCAGAAAGCTCACCAGGCTTCAAAGTGGCGTCTTTCGTTCTTTTGGGGTGATTCTTGATCGGTACCCATGACATCTGGGGGCTTCATTCTTTCCATGTACTACATGGCTTCTTGAACTTCATTTGTTTTGGGTTTCCTGTTGACAAACGAGAGTCTCATGATGGAAGAACTAGCCTTTGGGCCGGGAGCTGTTGAAGCAGAATATGATAGAGCCTTTCCCGCCTTGCGACTGTGAGCCACTGCGCGAGCGTGAACGCCGGGCAACGGACATCCGATTCTCAAAGAGGGCGGCATTGCAAGCATCGATCGTTTCGGGCGGCAAACGTCTTCAGGTCAGCAACTTTGCATCGAACATGACTTCACAACCAGGAACCAAAACATCCAGAAAAGACAAGCTTGGTCATGCGACAAACGGGCTTTCCGGACGCGACAACGCCCAACCTACTGTAAGCAGTCGGAACTTCAAAGAACCTCTCCATCGGCGGCCACGAGACAGCGTGACTTCCCACACCAAACTCGCGCTGTCTGGGCCTTGTTGCTGGGCTTTAGAAGCAGCGTGTTGTTTCGCAGGGAAAAGGCCGGTTTCACCGCATTGGACGGAGTTTTCAGCCATCGATTTTTCTCAAACCCACCGGAGAGGACAGTTTTCAAAGTCGTGGGGCCAGCTGCCAACTTCTGAAGGTCGGACAACACTGTACAGAACTCCTTCGAACGCGACAGACCCGGAACCGAAAACAACAGGTGTAAAACAACGTGGTGCCAGCCCAGCCCGTTTTGGGTCTTTAGCTCAAGATATGGGAGACCCTCTTCCCCTGGCGTGGCCACGAATTGGGTTCGGTTCGGAAGTCCTTTCGGGTTCGTTCGACCGGACTTGGGTTCACAGAGTGCAACGCCCGAAGGGTGTCTTCACGAAGCATCGCTCGGGAGGTGCAGCTCCTGTTCGAAGAAGAGGGCCATGATGATGCCGGCATCATCAGCATGTGCGCCGCCGTGCTCAAAGCACGGTCCAAGACACCTATCAGGTTGGCTTCATCGCACTGACCCCAACAGTCAGTGTTTGGGGGAGCAGAACGCTGTGGAACGCCCCCAGTGTGTTTGCATGCGGTGGTGAGTTTGGGCACAACGGTGGGAGACTGCACTTAGGATGTCTTGAAGACTGCAGCCGTCCTCGCTTGAGCAAGAGCCTTCAGTCACCAGAAGTTATAGAATCATCTACGAGAATGCCCTACCAACCCCCACACAAAACCCTTGAATGGTGCGATCTCTTGGTCCTTGACGTTCTTTTTTTGTTTTCACCAGTCTTAACACCAGTGCCACCACCTCTCATCTCCGATTCTTTTGTCCGCAGGTCCAGGTCTTCGGTCTTGGTCTGGTCATGTGGTGATTCGGTGGGGCAGGTATCTCACGGAGGAGCCGGGTGCCTTGATGACCACCGGGCTGGATCGCAGGGTACGCACCTGGAGTACCCAGCTCGAACGTGCCTTGGCTGATCCTCGCGATCAGGGCAGAATCGTTCGTCGTTTCGGTCGACCACCCGGAATTGGATGGGAAAGTCTGCCAGAGTCTAGGATGAACAACCATTCCCCAGGGCTCCAGTCGTACCTCCTCAGGTACGGTATGACTGGACCCTCCTGGCACCCACCCCAAACACCTTCTGGAAAGGTACTTGGAGCCCTGGGGATTTCTATTTTCCTGTAGGATGTTCCTGTCTCGACCAATCCGTTGATGAGGGTCCGAGTGGAAATCGCGTAGCCAGCACCTGGGTGTTGCTGTTGGTTTTCAATTTGGTGGCGGTCCTGCATTGTGTGAAAGGCAGAAAGAGGAACCCAGGAACCCCAACCAGCAAGAGTCCAAACAGGAAACTGTGGAAACTTTCATTGTCTTCGGGTAAGAGGACTTTTCCTTACTAAGGTGAGTAGTAGATGCCACAAATCCCTGTGGACCAATTCACGTCGCGTGGCTGTTCCGGCTGGTCGGCTGGTCATTCCTTTCAAGTCAGAGAGCCGGAGATCAGACGGCGCCGCACCCGACGTGAAAAACCTCCACGGCAGATTGGTCCAACCTGGTGGAGAAAAACGTCTGGACGTGTTAACCCAGACACGACCCATGGGACTGCCAGTCCGGACTGCCGAGAAACGGCCAGGGGTGGTGCCAGAAGGGTCAATGGGGCGACATATATGGCAGTCCCATGAGTCGTGTCTGGGTAAGGTCAAACTGACGTCGTGATGGACGTTGAACCTTCGAGCTTTGTCCATCCTAAGGTCTCGGCACGCTAATGCAGAGTTCCTTCGCTGCGAATGGATGGCGTCACCTTGAGTTCAGGGTTTGCTTCGCTGTGGATCGGTGACCCTGCAGTGCAGTGGGATTTGCTAAGGGTCCCCGGTGTTGCATGGACTTAAGAACCATCCCCAACACAGCCCAAAACACCGGTTTTCCTCTGGGCAATGTCAGGTGGTGCCAGGATGGTGTTTTTCTTCCTTCAAACATCTTCAACGCATCGCGCTTTTCCCCCGGATTTTTTCTCCGCTTGAAAGATCTTCTCGAAAAATGGTCAAAGTCAGGGGGCAATCCATGGCTTTTTGATTTGACCAAAGCCGTAAGACTGTGGCTAACTTGACAACCAAACACTGCTGGAGAAGGTTCACAATCGTCGCCAACCATGTGGCTAACCTGCGGCTTTGGATGTCAAGATCTCGGTTCTTGAGCCACGGATGTGTGAAAAGTGAAGAACTTTGTGGAAACTGGTCAACGTTTCTGGGTCACTTCTGCGGTCGGTCCCCCTTAGGGCTTTTTGGTTTATGTCTCTCACATGGGGGTGGGACAATCATTTGGACCAAGCGAAGGGTCTACCCTTTGGACGGGTTCCATACAGCCCTTTGTCCATGGTTTGCTATATCCAGTTGAAAGTGGATGGACCTACCATTTGGTAGCGATCAGGGAGCCAAAGAAGCAACCATCGCTTTCTCCATGATCGCCTGAGGAAAAGATTGGGGATGGATGCCCTGTTGTGCTGTAGCACAACGCAGTCCGGGTTGCGTTGTGCGTTTTCCCTCCGTGCCACGCGTATGCGCCTGCCATGCGCCTCACAACAAGGTCAAGATCGACACTTCAAGTTCCCCTTTGATCCACAAGCCGCTCAAGAGGCCTGGCACCCAGCGCCGACGTCCGAACACACCATGCGCCTTCTCCGCGCCCCGTCCGGCGTTGAAGGCAAAGGCGAGACTGCGAGACGAGCGGACTGCGAAGCCTCAAAGATGGGATGTTTGTGGGCTAGAGATCTGGGCTGGGTGAGTTGTCAGTGGAGGTACTGTAACTACTACTACTACTGCTACTACTACTACTGCTACTACTACTACTACTACCACTGCTACTCATACAAATACAAATACAAATACTAATACTAATACTAATACTGTTACTACGACTACTACTGCTACTACTACTACTGCTACTACTACTACTACAACTACTGCTGCTACTACTACTACTACTACTACTACTCATACTACTACTCATACTACTACTCATACTACCACTCATACTACTACTACTACTCCTACTCCTACTCCTACCCCTACTCCCACTACTGCTGCTGCTCTTTGGGCGATCGATCCGCCAGGCGCGGCTGCGGGAGGCGGCGGAGCTCGTGGAGCTCGTGGAGCGCCCCGCGGAGCGCTTGCGGCTGCCGCCCATCTCCAGCTCCAGGCGGCGTGGGCCGCGGGCGGTTGACCCTGGGTTTTCCATGACGAATCCTTAGTAAACCAGTGGTTGTTCCGTAAGATGCTAGCATGTATATGACATGTGTTTTTTTTTTTTTTTTAAAGTCCTGTCATAGATAGAAACGTAGATCCCATGTAGAACATGTATCGGAAAACGTGCCACGAGACCTCGTCATATCTCTTGATGATTCCATCCAGAATAAAACAGCAGTGGTAACTGCAAAAAGGGGGGGGCATTCTTTTTCGTTCAGGGTCGACACAAACGGTATGGGGATGATGAACTTGCAGACTTTTGGAAGATGTTATATTATGGTTGATGAATGTTGTTTTTGGTCATCAGACATATATCAGGACTTCTGACGCATGTAGGTTTTTCCTGAGCCACAGCCACGCATGAGCCACAGGGTTTGCTGGATTTTGCTGGGGAAGGCCCTCACCGTGCTGAGAGTTCTGAAGTGTCAGGAGCGCCCACGACATGCTTCTGTCGCTCAGCAGCGGGAAGACCAAACCAGGCAAGAAGAAGGACTGCCCAGGGGAGCCTCGTGAGCGTTAACCACTAGGTGGTTAACCACCCTGCCAGGCCACCAGACTCAGACTGATGGTGTAAATTCAACCGCCAATGATACTCCAAGACCGGACATACAAGCTGAAGATCGAGCCTTGGTGTTGCTAGTTGAGAGGAACCATGGCTTGAACTTTCATCTTTCAGTTGCTGTTCTTGCTGCATTCCTTTTTTTGCAACGCAGAATGGTGAGGGCTTCACGGCAGTTGGGAACATTCTGCAGATGCGTGGGGTTCTGAACCCATCGTTCCTTCTGAAGTTGGATGTGTTCATGGGTACAGCTGTTCGTGCTAGCAAAGTCAGCCCAGCTCATTGACATGGCACAATCATTATGAATGCCTGGACCCTCCAACAGGTCACCATCTGCCACTTTGGGTCGTCTCCATTTCAGCCACCATTTCGGAGACCTGTAGAGTCGGGTGCGGTAATTGAATGTGTTCACCCAGATGCTCATGGACCCTCCGTGAAAGGTCATATGCAGGGGTCCGGACCCTCAAATCCCTATGGTGTTGAGGGACCAAGGCCTGTTTGGAGCGTCTGGACGTTTTCTTTTTTCGACATTCCTCGCCAGGACGCAGAGTCAGCTTGGAGGGTCACCGCAGAGCAGGCCACGTTCCACCTGCGCCTTTGGGGACGGGTGGAGCTGCCCGAGCTGTCCCTCTGGTTTGGTATGGGAATGTACTTGACTCCAATGTCACATGAAGTTGGAAACAAGATGGACACCCGATGTCGCGATGTCGGAAGAGGCTTTTTCCCCGCAAACAGGGGGGTTTTTCACTCCATGAAACCCATGGGTTTCAGGGAGTGTTTCTCTATTGGCGCGGTGGCGTCAATCCACCGCGACGCCAGTTTCGGCTTGTTTCAGGCCCAGGCCCTGATCAGATCCTTTTGGTGGGACCGAGTCGCAGGAAGATCAACCAATCCCCAAAACGATACTGCTTGAAATGTCCTCTACAAGAAGCGATACCCTGTTGCCACCCCCCGAATTCCAAGGGTATCCTACCATGTTGCCTACTTGTTTGTTTGAACGTTTCCCCATGTTATCCACTGCAGGATGACTATACGTTTGGAGTCCAAACATGACAAGTCTCCCCGGACACCACTGTGTGTTTGGTATGAAAAAGACACGTCTAGATGGTTGAGGAACTGTGATTGTAAGAGACTTGGTGCTCAAGATGCGGATGAGGTGAATCGGACATTATTGACATAATCCTTGAATATCCCGGTGCCATTTCCTGGGCTGTCAAGCCTGGTGCCATTACTATAAAATAGGGGGGCCTGGGGTAGCCCCGGTATTCACATCGACATCATCCTTGGAATCATTTCTGGATCCACGTGCGCGAGCCCATTCCGTACAGTTTTTTTTGGGATCACCTCTACAAGTGAGTCTGAGTCCCTACGCCGGGTGGCAAAACAAACAAAGGCCTTAGCTATGCTAATGCTATTCAGCTATTCCCCTACACTGGATCAAAGCACCGTAGATGAAGACGTTTTGGAGGATGACTCTTCGTTTTGCTTGATGGTCTACTACGGACACCACCCCACGGTGACCCCACGTGAGCACTCGAACATGGAAATCCCAACACGCAGGTGATGCAAGCCCCGGACAACGTGGAAGAGGCGTGGAACATGCTTTTCTTTGTTAACAGAGTGCCGTTCATCAGGTTCATCAGGGCTGCGTGCCGTTGATCACAAGATCACTTGCTGAAACAACTTGCGAGATCATCCCTGCTCACAAGTGGTTGTGTCAATGAAGGCGTCCGACATCTCGGATGCTGTCATTCTGAAGGCGGCCAACGTGTCCTTTTACACACATCCCCGGCATGGAGATCCTGAAACATTTGGCTCGGGAATCTATTTGGGTCAGGGTTGATTGATCAAGGTCCAACCTTCGTTGCGCACCCCTCGAACTTCCGTGACTTGACGAAAATGAACTGCTCCACCTGCTCGTCAATCCATCCACCACTACCAGGCGACGGGGTACTTCAGCCGGCCAGGATGACTTCCGGACGCTGTTCGAACAGATGGAGCGTCGGAGGACCAAGGACGTTGAGAAGCCGGGTGCAAACCTGGGGCTGTTGGTGGCTTTGGAGCCGCAAACAAATCCTAGGTCCTGGGATTCCAGCCTACCAGCCATTCATAAAGATTTTAAAGTAAGATCATTCTTGGCAGCATGAATATCATGAATAGCGAACAGATTTTGACTTTTACTGGCTACAGGCTACAACTCCTTCAGCTCAAACTTTGTTGTTCAATGCCCCCGAGATGGCGTCAGGGCGTTTGAGACGGTGGCGTTTCGATGCGACAATCATCGTTTAGCAGTTGAGGTTGGGTTAGACAACACTTCATCTCTATCATATACTACCAACATTCTTAGTGGCTTTACCATACCCATTTTTACAATGAAGCATATTTATTTAACATCAACGTGTTGTCACCACACCATCTCCATCTTCACTTACTCTGGATTGTTTGGGTACAGGCCTGTTGGGAAGGCCTGTATTGCGGAGTTCGTAGGTAAGCCTCCTTTGTCTTTTTGCCGTGGCCACAGCAAAAAGACAAAGGAGACTTACCCTCAGGTATCAACTCTCCCCAGCCTTGATCAGCCCAATACGCTAGCCATGCCACAGAAACCAAACAATTTCGCGGGTTTCATGCGCAGACATCGGGCTTCTCTGCAGCATTCGGCGCCTGAAGAACCTGTGCGAGCTACAGGCTCCTTTGATGTCAGTGACTTCAATTTTTTAGAAGAGCGGCTGAAACGTGAAGAGGCCAGGGTTGCGTTCCTTCGCATTCTCTGCCTTGGGTGATTGATGCTTCGATGTTCATAAAGTTAGACATGCGACGCCTGAATGAATACGGCCGCTCAAGCGGCTGGGATGTTTTCATTCGACTGGTGGGTTATGAGCTCAAACTCGAGCGCTGCCATGTCTCACAGTTCGATGGGAACCGCGAGTTTGGGCCGAAAGCTGGCGGTGAACCCCTTTTGGTCTGAGAGGCTGAAAACAGAAGCCTTGCTGCGGTCCATGAGGCCGGTGTCGCTTCCTCCTGATGGATGCCGAGACAAGCAGGGAGCGTGTGCGAAGCCAAGGCCGACAACACGGCTGAGACAGGCGGAAGTCGGGCGCGCAGGAATAGACTGCGCGCTTCAAGCTTTGTGAGCGAGCGCGTGCCGAGGCACAGAAGCACACGGAGCTGCAGGTGGGGCGATGGATTCCGGTGTGTCAAAACACACGAGCGCCCTCACAGGCGGCCGGGCAGGCGAGCTCAAGAAGGCAGCTGCTCCTCATCGGATAGCCCCCGTAAAGGAGTATAGGAAGCAGACAGATCGGAAAAGCAAAGCGTAGTAGGGGGGCCCTTCCGGATTCCGGGCGCGACACCTTGTTGACTCGACCCACGTCCAAAGACGAAGACGTCTTCTTGTGGGCCGTGCGGCGCCGCAAGCGCCAGCGACGAGACCGGGCTCCAGCTGTGAATTCAGCGCTTCAAACCATCCCTTCTACTGCTCTTGACGTACCTTTCCTGCGTGGAGCAACCATCCTAGGTTCATGCTCCATCTCGGACAGATTCTTGTGCTGCGTCTTATCATTCATTTTGCAAGACATCTAAAATGAAGTGTCTCATCTTTGGGGGCCTGACGCAATCTGAGCGCTTGACAGCGCTGCGCGGGGCTTATCCTCGGTAACGTAAAGATTAAAAGGGCATCGGCATCGGCGCTTGCTGCTGGAAGCGATCTTCTCAGAAAGCAGCTGGGAAGGGTTCTCCTCCAAGAAAAGGTACCAACTTCAACTCTCTACATCGCATTCAGGATCATCTTCTTGATGATTTATCATCACCATTGTCGTAAACACTATCAACCTTATCACCAACATCATGATCATCATCAGCGCTGTCATCTTCATCAACACCACTGTCATTCACTGTCATTGTTATCATTATCATCTTCATCATCATCATCATCACCGTCATGGTCATCATCATACGAAATTGCAGAGACGATTGTCAAGGGTCATGATCTTCAAGTGCATAGATGCTGGGGCAACACTTGGGCAACACCGGGTATATCACATCTACATAGAGACAGGTGTTTGGATACAGGTATTGAGACACAGGTGTGAAGGTATAGGTGAAACAGGTGACATTTTGAGTACAACTGCAATAAGCGTCTGTTGCCTGGTGCGCAGGTCGCTGTGAGGAATGTGTGCGTGTGCTGCAGTAGGGCTCTTAGGTGGGTTGATTTTTGTTTACCTCAGCAGTTCCTATTGACAGCCCCCCAACAACGAGAACAAGATTCACCCGGCTAACGCAACAGTGCAGAAGACCCAACTGAAGAAAGCGATCCCGCAACCCGAAGTACCTCACTAAAACCAAACCAAAACCACCAGGTACCTCTGTATCACCGTATGATGAATAAAATCTTTCGGTGGAGAGAGCCTGTTTTCAAATTAAGACATCAAAAACATCAATTTAGTCGTCAGTCCCAAAAGTCAAAGTCAAAAAATAGAACCAGAAAATTTCAAAACAATCAAAAAATCAGTTGGCCCAAATCCGTCCCTTTTACATTTTGACATTTTTGGATTTTTTGACATCCTCTTTTTTTGATATTTTTAAGCCAAGGATTCTGGCCTTACCATATAAACAATTCTTTTAACCCTATGAACGTACTATGAGAAACAATTCAAAACAGCGGAAAAATCATGCACAAAATCGTCAACCCTTTTTTTGCCATGGGCCAACCTTTTTCTGCACCTTCTGCACCCGATTCCTCGATGTGCGCCTCCGGGCATCGACGTGCGCATCGCGGTGCACCACCGGTCGTCCGTTGAAGGTGCTTCAAAACCGGTCTTTTCGACCATCAACGATATGGAGGATTGCGGATGTCCTTTGGACCCGAAAGAATCCGAATCCAAGACAAATTGGAAGGGTTTGCTTCGGGCGTCGACCGTCGCCCTCCCCTGCCATGGTTCGGCAACCGGCTGAGGCGGCAGCATGAATGGAGGATATCCACCCTTCGAGGGGAAGGCCCTGGAGTGGTGTTGGAGGGATCGTGGGCGGCACTCGCCGGTGGCACAGTGCCATTCAGCTCGAAGGCGATTTGGAGTGTCATGATTTGCTATGATTGTTTTATACTTTACCTATTTTTATTTCTCTCCCTTTTCTTATGTAAGTCAGGCAAAAGGTTTATGAATAATATGCTTGACCTAGTCATGAAAGGAGGTCTCTCCTGGTGTCTCGATGCGGCATGTGCTAGCACATCGAGATCTCTCAAGTGGCTGATGAAGAGCCTTACGTCGTACACCGTGAACCTGGGCCCTGCCAAGAGGAAGACACGGAGATTTTGAAGCAGATCCACTTGGAAGTGAAACGCTGAACAAATACGCGGAATTGGTGATATATCCTTTCTTGAGCGACCTGCGTGCAGCCGACCAGGAGGGTAAGCGCACCATTCAACGGAAAATTGCTGGAAAGGCATCAACTTCGGGGACTCAACCACTCTTCAAACATCTTCAAGCACTCCACGTCGGGGAAGAAACTGAGGGAACCCCTATTTTTCTGGGATTTTTTTTTCAATTTTTTTCTGG